ATTTTAGCTTTACGACTATTTGTAATTTTCTATCCGTTTACTGATGTTTCTTTTTTAAATTTTATCAAATCTTTTTTGTTTTGTTTTACTTGAAACAACAACAAAGTGTTTGGTCATTTTAAGTACTTTTATCAGTTTTTTATTTTCATGACATTTTGTGGAAGCAACAAAAAGAAATCTGCTGTAGCACCGTTTGCCATCCAAGCATTCATCAGTCTCCACTTAGTGCAAGAACTGAAGGTCAGCTTTGTGAAATAAGAAGCGGTCAACTTCAAAATTTAATTTCTACCTCCTCATTTCCAGGCTGCGACACAGATGTTAATACAACCGGCTTGTTTTATTTTATTTTTTATTTTTCTCACTGCACACTGCTGACATCTAACCAGCACCCGCAGTAACACGTCGTGATTCAAGTCTGTCCACTGAATTAGTGAGAGATCATTAATCATCKGTGGCCTGAGTCAAAACAGAGAATGAACTGAACAGATCAGAGGGTGASGGAAAAAAATGTAGGAGACGAAGTGAGGGGAATCATGTCAGCCTGCAGATTGAGACACAAGCTGTCGCCCACAGTCAGACTCTTCAGTTGTTGTCAGACGATCTGAGTGAAGTTGTCCTTTGAGTGTCAGCTTGTGATTTCAGCTCTTTGTGGACAGTTTTGTCTGATGCTAGTTTTATTTTGAGTATGATGTTTTATAACCTAATCAGAGTGCAGTGTCTTTTACAGAACAACATGGATAATGTAGCAGCATCATTACTAACAAAGTTTACACTGATGTGTCTGATGTAGGCGACTCTCTGCTACTACCACACCAATTTTTAACCCAATATTTATAACACTGACTGAGTTGCAGTTCTGCTAATGCTAACTAGCTGTGGCAGCCATCTTGAAWTACATTATTTAGATGTAGGTTACATCCACTGATTATGTTCTGAGAAATTCATTGAAATCTGTTGAACTTATTTTTGCCCTTTCGCCATCAGCTGTGAGCAATGATATCAGGCTAAATAACTATTATATGTCATTTTTAATGTAATGCTAAAAAGCAAAGATAACCAATCAGATGCTTGAATTTATTAAATTCAAATCCTGATTTACTGTTATTTTTATTTCAATTATTTTATTTTATTTTTTGTCATTTGTGATCAAGATCAGGAGGTTTTATCTTCTGGATGCACTAATGTTTATATAATTTTTCCATTACTCCAATCAATGTTGCCTTACATTTAAAGTTTTTTTTTCTCAAGTATGAGAGGTAAAAAAAAACTTCTCCTCTGTCTTCTTCCCTGCAAGTTAGCTGCAGGTWAAACACATTTTTATTTTGGCAGCAGCAGCAGCATCTCTGCTTTCATAAAGTGATTACTCTCATTCACAAACATCCACCTCTGAGCAGAGACTCCAGGAGAGCAGATCAGTCAGGAGTTTTCTTTTTTCTTTTTTTTTCTCCTTAGGATAAACTCAGTTTCCCATCAGAGTCTATCCAATTATACATCCCTGCCAGCCTCATTCAGAACGAGGTCACCTTAGCTCTTATCTCTTCCTCATCGACTGGGACTGAAAGCAGAATTTGATTGGTTGATAGTGTTTAAAGTGGTTGGTGGTAGTGATGCTTTTAGGGGAGGGGTTGGGAGAGGGGATGTAGGACCAGACGAGCAAAACAGCTGGAGCGTGAAAGCCAAAAAAAGGAGGTAGATGGTCTTTTGAGGGATTATTTGCTCAATGTTCTTGTTTAGTTGTTTTTTGTGTCGGTACAATTGCGTGTTTGGATTTACAAAGGGAACAAGAGAAAGATGAATCATAAGCTGTGCTCATAAAGCAAACACATACCAATAGTTGTATTTATGCATCCATGTGCCAATACCCATAATGGGCTAATAAAAGTATCATCCAAATTAAAAGCACATCATACACAGGTACATTCTGAACAGGGCTCCCAAAGCATCTATCTGTATTCTATGTTAATGATCAGTAGCTGCTCATGTGGYATTCAGTGAAAATGATTTTGACACCCCTGCTCTAGGATGAAAGGAAAGGTTAGGGTGTCCAGGGACAACCCATGCATCACAGCTCAAGTATGGTGTGAGTAGCTGCCACATGGTCACACACTTTACAGTAAAAAATAAAAATAAACAGATAGCAGTTCAGTAGCTACTTACTATGTTTGCAGTTTCAGTAGCCATGGTGATGGCGAGAGCACTTCGTTCAATACCACTATTTTAACAATTTTTTTTAATTTAAACCTTCACCTAACGAGTTCAGTGTCCTGCCCAAGAATACTTCAACACATTTCTGGGGAGGCTGGAGTTCAACCTTCAGTCCTTCAATAGAAAGACGACCCCCCATGTCACTGGACTAAAGCTACCCCTCTACTGTGGCCTAAATCTTTGTCTTCTCTAACCATAAAACATTTATCCAGATAGCAACATAGAATTTGGCTTRTTCTCGAGGTTGGCTGYAAATTTCACTGAAACTATGAAGCTTGAAGGCTTTTTTTTGGCACCCTTTAAGTCCATGACAATGTAAAAGATACTTCACTGTGCTCAGCCTGTGTCAAACTCATTTTCACACATGGCCACACGAGCATCGTAGTTGCCCTCAAAGGGCCACTTGTAATTAATTTTCACGTTTTGTGTTTAACTTCTATAAAACATGAAATGTGTTCTTCATCTAATTGCTAGGAATGAGCACTGCTAATAAACGGTAACTGAGCTCTACTTCGTATTTCCTGCATATAAACAGTTTTAATATGTCCTCTTATATACACTGGTGTACGGCT